CACCCCACTAACAGGTTTTTCCAAGAGTACATGCATGACAGAAGGAGGCTTGAGCTCAGCTCCATTGCTGCTGCCCCACATTGACTGATACAGCTGGAAAGGAACTGAGCTGGCTCTTAGGAGAAAACCAAATCAAAGGCAACATCCACTGACCATTAATATGCATCATGAAACAGGAGGAGGAGAAAGAGCTCTTGGTTCATATCCCCACCTGCAGGGCAGCAGGCTCACTGCATTTTCTGCTGACTGAATGCTACATGTCTTTCACTAGTTTTGATGGAACTTTCTACAGCCAAATCCGTTTAAATTACTTAAAACCACTCAAAAGCCACCTGCCTAATGAAAACACACTTCATCTCATAAGTGTACTGCAGTGGATCTGAGATGGCGTTAGGAAATTTTGTGAGCTAAGGGGAATCAATGAATCATCTTGAAGTTAAACATATGTTTCTGTTCCCAGATGCCTCCCCAAAGCTCACGCACTAGCTGGGATTGCTTTCTGCTCCCCCCCCTTTTTTTTTCCTTTTCTATCCTCTCCCCTCCCCCCTCCCCAATCTTTAAAATCCACATTAAAAGAAAGACTTTTTTCACTCCGTGCCAGCATGTGACTTCATCATGGTAAAAGATCAGGGAAACCTGCTGGTGAAGAGAACAGCTGCTGGTTGACAACAGTCCTTCTATTACCTAAAAGGTCTAACAGAGGTGGTGAAACACTACTAGCCCTCACCGTCCATAACAGCACTCTCCTGGAAGCTGCATCTACTACAGGAAGGAGACAGATGGGGATTTGCGCCTGCTCCAGTTCACAGCCCAGCATCCCACTGTGAAACTTCTCTCATATTCAGTTTAAGCCAATAACCTGCCATCTATTCTGGTGCTTTGCCAAAAAAGTTCACCCGAGGGATAGGGAACACAGCTGGAAATAAACCCAAACCTTAAAGCCAGCAGCTACACACGCTACAGTTCCCTTTCCAGCCGGCTTTCATCCCGACAATTTGATTACTGCATTCACTACTCACCAACTTTATAGTGCACGCAGCCTTCCAAGTCGCCCACCGTTGTCCAGCCCTGTTTCTTTTCTACTTCAGGGTCGTTGTGAAGGATTTTATTTCTTAACCAGGACAAATAGTAAACTCGCAACTTGTTCTTCTTACCTGGCCACAAAATGAAAAAGATTGATTTACCTCCAAAGGAAGAGAAGCACAAAAACCTTGCCCAAGCTAACAGAAAGCCCTGCAGACTTTGCAAACCAAAGTAACACTGAAGGAGAAACTGCTGCAACCACGGAGATCTCCTTCAATTTTTGTGTCCACAACAGCTTTACTTCAGACTCCACCCAAACACATGCTTTCCTTATGATCAATGACAGAAACACATGGCAATGCCACATGAACATAAGGTGACAAACTCAAGGGAACAGCTTATCAGTTGTCTGGTTCTTAGGACCCAAAAAACTTCTATTAGAAAGGGTATATACTCCCACACCAAAACCACCAAAGAGTCATAAACTGAGATTAAAAAAAAATATACATAGCTGAGTCAGAACAGCTCTTTTTCACACAAAATTGTAGGAGAGCAGCAGGATGGAATTTGAGGCCTGAAATTATGTACACAGCTATCAGAAGAGAACAGGACTGGTTTGAAGGGAAGAACCAAAGTAAAGAAGAATATAGGGATGAAATGCATTTTACAAATTCTTCCCAGTTAGCGACCAGGACATTTCCATTCTTTCTATCGTCCTAACACAAACTGGTCAAGTTTTATTAAAATGGTTTACTGTTTCCCCAGGGGAATAGTGAATTACCTAACAGCAGCACTAAAAATTTCATCACTGAACCACTTTACACCAGTTCTGTTGTAAGGAAAAACGTACACTATCTGAAAATGCAGTGGGAGAATTTCACACAGCCCATGCAAACTTCACCCGCTTGCTAAAAGCTGATGCCTGATTCATCAGCAGCCCTTCCCTTGTGCTGCAAGGGATGTAATACCTTACAGGCTGCACACAGAAACTGCAAGAGGTGTTTCTTCTCCACAGGTGAGAGAATCTACTTGCCCAGGCTGCCCTATCTTCAACTGACAATGCATCTGCCACAGTCATCAAAATACAGCTCACACTCCTAACTCTCTATATAAGTCCTCTTTGAATGTAGAGCAAGGTTCATGATAAACTTTATCAGTGATTCTTTAACAACTAAGAGCCTACAAAGCATTTGCTGAACTAGCAAAAAGGTGGCTCTAAATACACATACTCAAAGCTTGCATCCTCCTTCATCCAGCTGCTTTGCTGCCCAAAACCATTACAGTGTCACAGATGGAGTTGGAGGCGAGGAAGAGAGATCAGCCCTGCTTTGACTAGGAGCCATTTTGTAAGGCTGCATGAAGTTTCTGCACAAGGAAGGGAAGGGGCTCCCAACACAAGAGGGAGGTGGACCCACTTGAGCAAGTCCAGAGAAGGGCCATGAAGATGATCAGGGGCTGGAGCACCTCTCCTGTGAAGACAGCCTGAGAGAGTTGGGGTTGTTCATCCTGGAGACAAGGCGGCACCAGGGAGACCTTCTAGCAGCCTTCCAGTGCCTAAAGGGGGCCTACAGGAAATCTGGAGAGGGACTTTTTATGAGGGTGTGTAGTGACAGGACAAGGGGGAATGGCTTTAAGCTGAAAGAGGGGAGATTTACATTAGACATTAGGAAGAAATTCTTTCCTGTGAGGGTGGTGAGACACTGAAACAGGTTGCCCAGAGAAGCTGTGGATAACCCATCCCTGGCAGTGTTCAAGGCCAGGTTGGACGGGGCTTGGAGCACCCTGGTCTAGTGGAAGGTGTCCCTGCCCATGGCAGGGGGTTGGAGCCAGATGGTCTTTAAGGTCCCTTCCAACCCAAACCATTCTGTGATTCTATGAAACGCTCTCAGGGACCCAACTTGTCCGTGGATTAGCTTCATGCTACTGCTTCTCCAGCCGCTATGAGGCAACAAGGTGAATGTGGACAGTGTTTCACAGCCCTTGGAGCTGCGAGGAAGACAGCTGACCTATACGGCAGTCAGTGCTGTGCTGGCTAAATGACACTGTACTTTCTATGCTGCAGAAAGCCATGAGCTGTCAGGATGGTCCACCTGGCAGCCTGCCAGTCCAATCCAGCTGATGTCTTTAATTCGTCTTCTAAGTTTTCATGTGATGTCTACCGATGGATCAGTTCACAGCTGGCTGCTCATTTCAGAGACAGGGATGGGCACACAGCATCAGGAGATACCGTCACAGCAGGAGATGAAGCCCAAACATTGAGACCATCCTGCTGTGCCAAACAGCTCCACACTGGTGTCCTGGAGCTGGTGGGGTCCTGGTGGCAGGAGATCCCCTAACAGAGCTGGGATCCTTGGGAATAGCAACTGCAGGGGCAGCAAATGGGGAAGCACAGCTTGCAAACAGGCTGCTCCATGGGCTCCACTGCCACAAGCCATTCCATTACAAAGATACACAGTCTGAAAGATCTTTTTATGATGACTTGGATGGGGAAGGGTAGGAGGAAAAGAGAAGGTACTTTTGAAGTCAAAAATCTGTTCACTGAGCTTAAATTTAAAGTGGAATTGGGGACCCATTTGCAACTACTGGACCTGCTATTTAATTTTAAAAGCCCCTCTGTTCTCATGGCACTAAATGAAATGTGAAGTAACATTGCACTGTCCTTTGTTTATCCCCACTACAAAAGTGATGGCAGATTTGGCAGTAAATGAGCACCCTGATTTATTGCCTGACTTCGTATTTATTAAGCCATGTTTCACAAAGGGATAAAGCCCCACCAATCCTGTAGCTTTCTACAGATTTGGAAAAGGGACTAGAGCAGGAAACAACATTCCCAGGAGTCCCACATCTGACCAAGGAGAGGTCCTCCCCTGAAAATACTGCAAACAATAGCCACAAGGGCCCTTTTAGAAATACTGAAAAACAGGGAACAGAGTCCAGACCAGGAGCCACTGCAGTTCTGGGCAAGGAAGAGCTCAGAGGGCTCCAGGTCAGTACAATGCACCAAATGTTTTTAAAACCATGACAAGTCCCTGTCCACTGGGAAACAAATTGTCTCACAGGTATTTCCATGGCTTTAGCTTTCTCAGTAGTTTAGTCGAACTTGAAGACTCAGAACAAACAATACACACAGGAATTTCCCAGCACGTGGCTTAGTTGTTGGTTGGGGGTTTTTTTGTTCACATGATATGCACCAGGGTATTTCTCTCCAACCAGAAACATTTTCAAAACAACAACAGAGAAATATCTCCTGCGTGTTCCCATTGTGTTTTAGTGTCTAGACCACAAGGAAAGTCACAAGACAGGAAATCCCTCTGCTTTTCAGCAGCCTGACATGAAAAGAGAAGGACCAGTTAGTGACAGAAACATGGCTATGCGATGGGTAAGTTTGTATCACTATATGCTGATATAAACAAGTTCTGCTGCTCTTAATGTTCATATTGGGAGTGGGGGGATTACAGCATTCTGCTTGTAAATCTCTACCAGCCAGTTTAAACAGCTCTCAAAAATCTGGGTGTTGGTTGGTTGATTTTTTTTTCCTGTTTGTTTGTTTTGGGGCTTTTTCTGTTTTTTATGGTTTTGGGTGTTTTTTTTTAATCTTTGTCTGATTTTTATGATATTTTTTATGAAATAAAACAGAAAAATCTGCTCCAGCCACCAAATGAACTGATCAGTCAGTGATTTCTATGAGAACTCCTGACTGATTCTCCCACAGACATAATTTCAAATGCAAAGTCCCTTTTCCCATATTGAGTTTTGGCTTTAATTGTCACTGTGGTTTTTAATTATTAAGCAGGCACATTCCAACCAGTTCTTCTACTCTGTCATCCCTTCCTACCTTCCCAAGTGCCACCATCAGTCAGTTGGGCTGGCAAAATCCTCAGGGAGCCACAAGTGGAGCATGTTCTGTATACACGTCGCTACTCTCTCCTCCAGCATTTTTATGACTCTTAGCACTGTATTATTACCTGAGCCGGAACTCTGGTTTTGCCTCCCAACAGTGTGTACTGAAGAACCAATCAACTACTCTGCTTTGGCCTGCAAAGCTTCCTCATAGCAGCTCAGTACCTCAGTATCAAAAGCTTTGTTGTCAGAAAGTTTTGTAATTAACATATAAATTAGGGATGATTTCCCGACTCAAGGAAATCCAGACTCAAGTGTGTATATTCAAAACAATTTTATGTGACAATCCCCTCAAATTCCTAACACACTGAAACTTCTTTGTACCATGTGGTGACAGCTTTCAAAACTCACCACCGTCAGCACATCATTCCCAAAAAACCCTATACAGCTAAGTGCATGGTAGGCAGCTGAACATCGCTCCCAGAGAAGCAGTCTGGGGACAAAGCTCAGAGGTAGCTCCATAACCAGTCTGCCAGAATAGACCATCTACAGAAATACAGCCTCACTTCAGGGTTCCCAGTTTGCCTGAAGAGGTGGAGCAACTCACTGCAAATAAAAAGTCACCAAAGGAAGTCCAGCATGAGGGAAGCTTCAATTAAGAACTGCAGTGCAGAAGCCAAAAGAGGAATATAAAGGGGAGCCTGGGCATAACAGCATGACAGTTTCACCAAGCATGCTCCCCCAGCCCTGCCTCTTGGTGGGCTGGGATGCCTCTTTCCCGCCTTGTACTCCATTAACCTCCCATAAAACGCAGGGGATGGGGCAGAGATCAAGGCATAATCCAGCCAAAGATCAGCTGATTCTTAAGGGTTAATGTAGCGTGTCTCCACAGAGGAAGCAATAGTTCTGAGAGAAGAAAAGAAAATGGATGTGTCAGGGTACTCAGATTGTGACTGACACAAACATAAATAAACCTAAAACAATTGAACCAAGACTGAATCACAGATGCTTGTCTGCATAGGGTATGCTTCAAACCAACAGATTTTACACAAGTTGGATTATACAGTATTTTTGTTTACAAGGTCTCGTATAGAATAAACCATATCAAATGGTGCTTTACAAAAAGCTTACATTTTAACATACTGCACTCAACATCAAAAGGACACACAGCAGGTTGTGGGGGTTTTTTTTAATCCTCCTTGATTCATCCTTTCTTTTTAAAGATTTCACAGCATAACAGTAGCTGAGAATGCAGCAAGCAATGAGCCAATACAATACAGTGTTCTAGACAGAAACAAAGCCCACTGTTGACAATACCAGCACGGGCACAGTTCTTTGAACCTGCAGTAGCATAATACCTCTAATGCATTAAATTGCATTGAATTTTCTAGGTGTGTATCCTTTTGCACAAGGGTTGGAAGAGCCGGAGAGCTCCTCCACTGGAGTCAGAGGGGTTCTGGAGCCTCAACAAAATTTTGGGTGGCTCTGAACACCACAGGAGCCACTGTGAGAAACCTCATTCAGTATTCTCCCCCTCTCACACACACAGCATAGCAAAGGCTGATTTCACAAATAATCCAAAACAAAAGGAAGGTAAATTGCTGAAATACACCTGTGAAGAAAGATTAACAGTGTACCACATCAGGTTGCTTAACAGCATGATAATCTTATGCAATAACACTCTGGAGCCAAAGAGTCTGGAACCTCCAGCTTCATAAAGCATTTTTCCATCAGTGCACACAAACAACAATCACCATCACCCTTCATCTCCCGTTGCTTTGCCATCTGCAGTTGCATCCAGTGAGAGTAAAGCCAAACGCTGCACCAATCTGCCTTCTCACACTGGTAATTTCCACATCACGTACACTCTGTACACCCCTCTCACCAACACACACGCACACTCACTGCACATCATTCCTATTTCCTGACTTCATGAAAGCATTTCCCCCCTACAGATTTTAACACACAAGATGTCTTTAAACCCAAGTGGCAAATCATGTTTTGGTTAGAAAGAGGCCAGGTTGAAAGTAATCATGACAGAGGGAAAGAATGCCATTTTTACAAACTTCACAAAGCAGTAACTTACAGCTCCCAAACACTGAACAAACTAAGCTGGATGTTTCCCCCAAACCCATGCAGGATTTTTAAAGGCCACTCCACAGGCAGAAGAACAGGGGGCAAGCAGGCACAGGGTGTCGTGTGGAAAATGATTCACTTGCAGAAACAAACTGTAGACTCAGAGAGGTGAAATGATGGAAAACCCACTGACTGCAATCAAGTCAGGACTTCCCCCTCAACACACAGGCTGCCAAGAAAAGCTTTCTGCCATGCCATACTGGATGGGGGGAAAAAATCATATTGAACAGTTAACCTTACCAGAAATTGTCACCAAGACATTCAGCCCCTCAAGTACATCCATTTGCTGGAATCTCCTTCGATTGATGAGCGGATAAACCTTCCCCTGACCACTTCTGTCTAGCAGCATCAGACCGCTTTCAGTGCCCACTAACAAATTCACTCCTAGAAGAAACAAAACCAAAGATCCAAGTTAGTAGGCAGATTTTCCATATATTCTGATGAATTAATGCTCGGTATAGCAACTGTCTTGTTTCAAGCAAGTCTAACCACACTGCTGATTGGGTCTCAGGTGCCTGCAGCCTTCGAGATCTCATGATGTAGAGGCTTTCTACACTACCTGCCTGCAGTGACTAGTGACACCAAATTGAAGTGTTCAAGAGAGTAAGAGCTATCTAGAGCACCAGTTCCCAAACAAAAAGGCACATTAATGTTGGAGGAAGGGGCAAGGCACAAAGTGATACCCAAGCTTATGTATTCCGAAGATGTATTAACTGTCAGTAAGGGGGTTGGTAACAGGAGGCTCTAGACAAGAACCCAGCAAAAAAGCAGTGGTAGGGGCTTGGTCCCCACTGGAGAAACAGACTGTAGCGGAGCATGAGACTGAGAAAGTCCTTGGTCGGAGTAAACATTACTTAGCAACAACTAAAAACACCGGTGTTATCAGCACTGTTGCCAGACTAAAGCTGAAAAACCCACACCACTGCACCAGCTACCAAGAAGGAGAAAAATGACTGCTACTGCTGAACTCAGGACACCCTCCTGTAAAAGGACAGGCTCAGCGTTGGTCCTCAGCTTCCCAACAATCTTTTGCATCTGAATGTTATGATTAGAGGAGTAATAGTAATCTTGTGTTTCCATAGATTGCTCCTAAAGGTCAAGCAATTGCAGATGAGAAAAGTCAGTAGGCCCGTTTCTTTATACAAAGGTCCAAACATGCACTGGAACACTTTCCAAGAATCCACAAAACCTCAGTATTTAAAATCAATTTAATGGGTTTTTTTGGTGGTTTTTTTTTTTTTTAAATAAATGTATGAGTATATATGTATGAGAATAGATTTTAAAAATCTATTAATACATTATCATTCTTAAATTTCTTAACTATTTATTTGCAATAATGTTTCAGTCCAGGAGCTCACAAATCGTGCAGACAGGTCAGATATAGGGAATGGAAATAAAAGCAATTGCATGACTCGCTTTATTGAACTTCTGTGTTGCAATCACAACGTAAAACTTGTCATCCTTAAGCATAAGTGGCAGCCAGAAGAAGGTAATGATGGGGAAGAGGCCTCACCTACTGGTGCTGGCGCACACGTTTTATCCTCTGGTTGGATAAAAAAACAGATGTAGCATATGGAGAGGTTGGAAATGATCATACATCTTCGTTTTCCTCTCTCTCTCCTTTTCACTAAGGAAACTTCAGGGACCCCAGCAGTCCCCAGAAACCATCACATCTCTTTGCTCGGATTTGCTGCTCTGCTCCTCCTCTGCCTCCTCCAGGCAGGAGAGCACACAGATGCTGGCAGGCATAGCGCCTGCCTTGGGAAAGGTCCTGCCACCCTCCCAGGCTCTCCTTCAGCTGCTGGCATCTCCTCCATCCCCCTTCCTGCCCTCCTCCTGCCTCTGCACCTCCCACTGGGCCAGCACTTGCAGGATCCCATCCCACAGCCCTCAGAGGCATTTCACACCTACTGTCTCCTTAATGGGAGACATCCTTAAACTGGGAAGCAGTGGAAGGAAGTAGGGAGAACAAGGCACAGAGTCATGGTTCAACACAGGCTGCAGCATCACCAAACCAGCCAAGGAAGTGCCCAGCAGTTGGTCTCCTTCCTGCAGCTCCAGGACCCACTGACTAAAGTTCTAAGTGATACAGCTTCGACATGTATTTTTTCCACCATGGCCTACAACTCAAGGCAAGCCACATGCAAACTGTTTCCTCAGGGTCCCTTCTCCTCTTTGTGCATCAGGGCTCAGTTGCTCTCACCTCCACCCTCATCTCTTCCTCTGCTGCCTTTGTAGTACATCTGTTTCTGCTTCAAGCTTACATGGGCACCCATCCACAACCTCTTCCCTTAGCTATATGCATTCTGAGATTAAGCTAATGAGGTACTATGCTGGTGGCAAGCAGTGCAGGCACTGTCGCCATTCATGGCCAGCAGAGCTCTTCTGCCACCACCCTACAATTAACCAGTTCTGGTTCTTCAAACAAATGGAAATGCTTCCTGAAAAGGTATGGGCTCTCTATGGAGGCTGGGTGTACAAATCTACTCTACTGCATCCATGACATTGACTTTCATCACCCAGAACTAGAAGAAACAGCATCACAGACCTAATGCAATCAGCAAACTGCCAGATACTATGGCATTACCACTTGTAAGGGCAAGGCAAAACAAAGGAAAGCAAGTCCTCATCTTTTTTAATAAGAAATATCACCATTAAATGCCTTAATTTACTTAAGGGTAAAGAACCTAAACCTTATCAAGAAATAAGCATGTGTACCAGCTTGCAGCAACCATCAGCTTGGCCTTAAATGTTCAACATAGAAATTCTTTATTACAGCTGTAAAACACCTCTAGGATTTTACACCTGTACTTTAAATCACTGTAACAGTGAGATACATAGATGAAAGAAATATAAAACCATTAACACAAATTGCTACTGGCAAAACAAGGCAGATCAGAGAAATTATGAGTCATCTTTACTGATCCCATATGATTTCTCTTTGCCTTCTCCCTCTCTCAGCCTGAAAGTTTACATTTGCACAAGTCTTGATTTTATCAGAGAATTATTCATATGAATATGGGCATAAATAGCATTGGGCTAAAAATTCTTACCAGTAAATCCTGGAAATAAAGACAACAGCAGATAGGAAGACAAGGTGTTGGGACAGTCATTTAATTGACATGTCTTTGCAGGCAAGAAGGACAGGGCAACAGTACTGTTCTGAGAAACAAGAAATACTGGAAATAACCCCAAAAGAGAACTAAAGCCTCAGAAAGAGCTGTGAAAACACAGACAAGAGCAGTGCACTGTGTTACCGATGCAATCATTGTCTGACTCAGGGGAATGGCCAACTCTCTTCTTCATAGTTTTTAAGATGACACACATGTGCATTTACAGCCTGTTAAGTTTCGGTATACTAGATAAATGTGTATGTAATACACACAGCATTGTCTATTAACAGCTAGATAATGCAAAATAAATATAAATCAGGTGGCCCCATGGGTTCTGGCCAAGAAAGAAATGACACAGCAGAGAAAATCTTTTGCTGGGTGTTGCAGCAGTGATTCCACACTGTAGCACGCAACAAGCACTGCTCTAAGACTTTCACCCACGTAGGATCCTAACTGTCTGACACTGACATAAATTATCCCTTGTGACAAGAAGGCCAGGCACACTTGGTCAGCTGACTCCTGACGCCCAGCTTCTCTCTGCACTAACCACTCTTAATGAAACCAAGCCAAAGCCTCACACTGGAAAATTACACTCCTACCCTTCTCTATTCCTGCTTCCTTCCTACATAAACTGATGACTGAGGTGGAAAGTCATCTTACGAAACACATCTTAATAAAGCTCTGCAACAATACATTAGCGAGAGGCTCAAAAGAAATACCCGTGAGCACAAGGTGTACAATGCAAAGACGACTACAAGCTCCCCAAAACTGCAAGAGATGTACTAGGAAGGGTTAGAGAGAGCTGATTCAGCTGATCAGCTGAATGAAGTCTAAATAGTGCCATCAGAAGAATATATACAGCAGCAGGAAATTATATCAAAGCAGAAGCAACATACTGTGAAAAAGATAATAATAAGCAGCTCCTGCAACAAAAAGAGGTGAACAAGCATTGAATAAATGCAGAGAAACAGCTAAGGTTACAGAGACACATTCTCAAAGCCTGTAAGCTCATACTGGCACGTCTGCACTTCAGAAGTGCAGGAGACAAGGGAGGAACAGGTTTGCATTACCCCATAAGGCAGCACACAGTATCTCAGAATTGAATCTCTTCTTGTATTTGCGAATCTCTGGGGTATCACTCTGTGGTCGTGTATTCGTGGGATTCACATTGACAACTGATCCTTTCCGTGTAGGGTCTTGCCTTATTGCCTCTGATCTCATTGCTTCACTAGAGAATCCTACTGGAAAAAAAGAAAAGTAAAGTGCATGTAACATCTCTCGAGTGCTAAATCCTGGCCATATATTCTTTACACCATACTACCCAAATCAGTAACTGAGAATACTGAGCAAGTCCTTCTTTTTGTAAGAAATGTAAATGGAAAAAGAAACAAAACTATGCACTCCATTGCAAATGAAATAAAAAGCATGATGGTAACATTCATAAGTATGTTAAAGAGCCACTGAAGCCACTGAACCCTTTTTCAATTGTTGTCTCCAGCTACTTTACTTACCCACAGAAGTCACGGTTGTCCCACTAGATGGAGAAATCTGTAGTAATCTGGGGTCTATAAAAGGTGTAAAGGAGGAGGAAGATTTGTGTTTCTGGAGTGTGTTACTAGCGGACTGAGTCTGCAATGTAAATTTCAACTTTATTAATATTAATGACAATAAAAAGCACGGATAACAACAACCAACATTTTTAAGTCACTACAGAATTATGCTACAGAGCCTCCCCAAGCTTTTATACTTCCTTTATAGATACATAAAGCACTGCAGGCAACACATCTGAACTAGACACATATGCACGCTGCACATGTTACAGCAAAATGCAATTAGCTAAATCGTCATCCCTGTCACCTCAGCTGATAGTGAAGATTTTTAGGACTGGCCACTACAATCAGGCACAAAGCGAGGGAATGTCTCCTTTTTAAAAAATCTGCTTAAATGTATGTATACTATCTGATCTGCAAGCTGTCCACTACCTATGACTTCTAAATTTATGAAGCATCTCCTAAAGCGAGCTAGTTTAATAAATTATGAAGTTTGATCTCTTGGCTTGTGCAGCCAAGTCAGAACCATCTAGGATCAAGCGTTCACTTCTACGATGGATTGTGTTTCTTTCAATGTCCACTACTGTTCTCTCTCCCTATTTTGTTTAACCTTAGCCTCTTGCCAGAAAGCTGCAGCAGGTTCTTCCACCTTTATTTGACAAAGCAACATATTAAACCTGTATCGAACAAAGGGGCTCATTAGTGTGGAAGGTGTAAGCAAACGGTGACATGAAGCTATGAGTATGTAGCAGATAAAATCACTGGTGCTTGCTGAGTTATGTGGTCTAAACATGAAAAAACATGAAGAAAGGAAGAAGACAAGTGAAACAATGGACTGTTAAAAGTGGAAATGGAACAACTTAAAAACCCTTGCCAGTTTAGTATTATAGTGACAACATTGCATACTGAAGCAGAATGGGAGAAGTAAAAAAAAAAAGTATATATGTAAAGGGCGTGCATGTGGGTAAGTTACATCAAGCAGTACTGAGATTTTGCTCAGCTTTATGCAAACACAGAGACACTTCTTTATCAACAACTAATCTTCCACCTCTGACTTTTCTAAGCCTCTACTCTGCAGAAAAAATAGCAATGGGTCTTAGGAGTATATCACTCCTCTGCACAGCTCAATACCAAAAGGCTCCTTCGCCCCCAGCCACTGCCACAGCCTCCACTTCCTAAGCTGAGTTAACTGAACCCTGCTTATTTATTGCTTAGATCAAAGTAATGAGCAATCATATCTCTGGATCAATCAACTGATCTCTATAACCTACAAGAGCGTGCTTTTAGAAAGATCAAAGACCAGTGAAGCATAGCTGAAAATTAATATTATGCTAACCAAATTTCCAGGAGGAAACCCTCCCACCCACCCTACTGCTATGTGGTTCAGAAGTCTTTTCGATCCTGTGGCGAACACGTGCGTTGCCATCAGCCTACCCAGCTCACCTCAACCTTCCCTCGTCATAGCACTTGCACGCCTACATGGCAGTACAGCTCTACCCTGAAAAGCAGCAGCTTATTTTCACCAAGTTTTGCTCCCCCTGTACCACCCTTGCTTGCACACAGAAAGAAGTTCTACCCAAAAGCCAAGCTGGCCACCCAGCTGGGAGTGGAACCACCACGCCAAGCTCCTCGCTTCTTGCTAGGGTTGGTGAGGGGTGAATGATGCCCATCATTCACATGTGTGCATCTCCTCTGCTGAAGGGGTTATGCACACATGAAGGACCGGGCTTGCCCACCAGCACTTGGTAAGGGAAAGCAGCATCGCAGGATCAGCCCAGGACAGCAAGAGGGAGCTTCCCTTGCCGCAAAGCCTTGCTTCTCCACCTGGACACAAGCAGCGCTGGTGGAGAACAGTTGTTTTTACACAGCTGCTTTTCAGAGTACATACATACTTGGAAAAAACCCAAAGATTCTCCCCAATTCACTGTTTCAAAACAACAATATCCCAGGCTTTTACAACCCTCCTGGGCAATAACCTGATTTGTTCACCCAGCCCATGTGGCAAGCTTTAAAGAGCAAAATCCCTCCACGGCCGCTTCCTCTCCCAAAGGGTGAGTTTCCACAAGCAGCTTCTCATACGTGCGCAGTTACCAGCTCAGCCTTTACCGACAAAGCCAAAATTAACCACTAATTTTTAGGATGCACACTGCTTGCAATTAGCTTGCTCCCAGAATAAAACAGAATTAAAAATATAATAGTATTGGCTTGGAAATGCAGTAGTCAAGTTTAGTTTAAAATGAACGCCATGCAATTAATGACTGACTAAGAAGAAGCAAAAATAGTAAACTGGCAAGTTTGGCGTGGGACTGCTCTAGAGTTAAGGGCTTCTTACACAGAACTGAAATGTGTTATTTGGGGGGTGGGAACAAAGGTGACAGAAAAAAAAGCAGGGGAGATTGGCTGGAGTTCCTTTGCAAACTAGCTACTAGGCAATGCTGCTATAACCCTACGAAAGCAGCCAGCTGTGGTGTAAGACATACCTCATTAGTAGTTAGCTTGTCCTGGGGTGTCTGTGGGGACATGGTGGGTGTCGGCTGGCTGGAGGATGGGGAGGAGGAGGTGGAGGAAGTGGAGGAGGAATGGCTTTGCTGTAAGAGATCTGGCAAGAGGTGAATGCGACCGGCAAAGCCATTGCTCTCATGATGGCTGGCACGCTTTTTGTCAACTGTACTCTGTAGAAAAAACAGGCACACTTGTCTTGCTCAAGTGCTGCTTAAAGGTCTACAGCCCTAACAACCTCTCTCCTCTCCCTCACTTCCTACCTTTTTACATTTATTTTTTAATTTATGTTTCAAAAATAAGCTGGTAATCCATGCCTTGATGCCTGAATGGAAAGGGAAAGCGGGCAGAGCTACTCGAATTCAGCAAATTCCCACCTCTTCTGGCAGGCAAAAGCTTAGTTCATGTGGTTGACTTGCACAGCCAGTTTCACTAATTAACAGAAGAGTAACTGTGCCAGGAAGTCTTCCACCACAACACGGACAAGCACATTTTTGGGGGTGGAGGGAGGATTTCTTTCCATGTTTTGTTTAAAAATAACTTAAATCCTATACAGATACGAGCTTGGACTGTCTGGCAAATGCTTTCAGCTAACTATTTAAAACAATAAGCATGAAATCTTAATTTTCAAACCAGAGGGCTCAATTAAGAAATTGGCATTCAGTTGTGAAATTCAGAAATGCGATTACTGAGGAAACTCCTATAAGCTAGCACGCTCATTAACACATGAGCTCATTTGAAAGCAGGGAATCATTATCTTTCAGAGGCACAAGAATGCAATATTTTCAGAATCAAAGGCAACAACACAGCACTCTAGCTCTGTCCATGTTCTCTGCCTTGCCACCTGTTTTGCTTCTCCATTCCCCCAAAGTAACTGTTGCATGAATTTGTATGTACTTGTGTGTGTATATGTTATCTAGGTGTATGCCCTCAGCTACAGGTTCAGAACTATTTAAAAAACCCTTGAATGCTCTCCCCAGCCTCCCTCCCAGCCCCACTCCTGAGAGCTACGTTTGGTTCTATGGTAAAACTAAACTAAGTTCTTGCTCCAGGTAATTGATCCAAACACCTGCAGCTTTTCTACCTTTCTCTCCCACAGACTTTGAGGTATTCTGCATGGTGCTGCCATGGTGTCACTGGAAAGCATGCAAAACAGAAGCAAGGGGTGAAGGGCTACTCTCCTGTTTGCATGCATCAAACATGTTGCTCATCTGAAATTCACTACAGCTGTGTCTTGATAATACAAACAACAAATATAATGTAGAAACAGCATGGGTGAATGAGCGAGTGGGTTAATGAGCACAGAAAAGGTGCAGCACTGCACAGGGAAGGAAAAGCAATACCTGTCGGACAATTAAGGTGCCCTCCTTAGAAGGAGTCAAGGCAGGTTCACTCTCCACATCGTCATGGACAATCATGGTTTTCACTGACTCTGTTTCACCATTGCTCAAATTCAACGTTGACCTATTTGCCGGACAAGAAACAACTGGAGTGAGACAACAACACTTATGCCCTAGCTTCCACTGCCCTGCACCAAGGCACACTCAAAATTAATTTATATTGTGCCCAGAGCGGAGTATGTACATAACCTGCCTAGGAAAGCATCTCTGTTAAAAAGGAAAAAAGAGTCAGGAGTTTGTCAAACACCACTTCTTGCTTTATAACAAATAAAGGAAGCAGAGGGAAAGACACAATGTATAGAAGCCTACTTTTTGAAAAGATTACCCTCAGGTGTTTGAAAATGTGAATATACTACTATGTCTTGCTCGTAGACTGTTCTAAGCTGAAAGAACTAACATACAAGCCAAAACACCCAACATCCTCTTCCTTCAACCCCCTAACAGGGAAAACAGAACACTGTTAGAAGAACTAACACTGCTCGGACATCATCTGGTCCAGAAGTAGATTCGTCTGCTCCTTCTTGTTCCATATCATCATCTTCCTCATCCGTTGTCCCCGACTCCTCACTGGAGGATGAATAATCCGTTACTTTATGTGGAGGTCGCACATCCTCTACTGCTCGCAATTCCTTTGCCAATGCAGTTAAATCCTGATGGGAGAGGAAGGAAAAATCAGATGTTGCAAGGACGAGAGAAGAGTTTGCAAAACAAATCCGCGTGATCAGTGCTCAATTTGCTCACTTGTCCATTATTGTATTTGCATAACCCCAGCAGTATTGTTTCTTTTGATTTACTTATTCTTGATAGTGAGTTATTAAAACTCACTTTTTTATAAATTAAAGCACCAAGAAAGTCAACCTAAGAAGGCCTTGCCATATTACAGAAAAATGTATACCCTGAATCCTGATTCAGACTTGTTTATCCCATGATACCATCTGAAGGACATATACAAGCACCTGGACCCACTCTTACCCAGTGGTTGACTGTCACATTTAATTTCCCTAAACTGTGCAGGTTAATAGCAACGACTGCAAGAAATCCAAGCAGCAAGGTAGCAGAAAGATCCTAAGACTTATTCAGCCACCCAAGGAACAGTCAGAGAGAGCTGATCTCCTTGAAACCTTTTGCTCCATTTCCAGTTGCATGGATCCACACTAAGGAGTTCACCTGAGAAGACAGGTTCATCAGCACCAGCTCAGCCACACACAACTGTCAGTGTGACATATAAGCTGCTTTGCTGTCTGCAGCTTGGAGTGTGGGTAAACCAAGCTGGCAGCCCGTGCAGTCTGCTTTCAATTGTGTAGCTATGCTTTCCTTAGTTGAATACAAGTTCAGCCAATACTTCACATATTATACTATCCGAGGTGAAAGATCAAGATCTATGTTTCTTTAAGAAAGCAGCTTTAACTGACAGATTTGGATGCTAATGCAGTATCACAATGGCAAGAGCAAAAAAGTTTTAAGGAAAGTTGGAAATACTGTGAAAACCCACTGTGATCCCCCAGATACAACTGGGCATCGAGCTGTAATCAATTGTAACAGCAGTCAGATAAAGAAAATGTCAGAAATCTTTCACAGAAAATAGCACCGGTTTAAGGTCTTACCACTTCTCCCTGCACCATTCAGCCCAGAATTGGCACATTCAGGTCAAAAGCACCATCATTGGTCCAGCCCCAGGAAGGAAGCACAAGGATCGAAAGAGAGAAAGAAAAAGATTAGGAAGGAAGAAGACTAGAGAGCAGAAATCAATTCCAGAAGCAGAGAAAATTCTGATGTTTCAAGTACTGTGATATGTGCAGGCAATGGCAGAGCCCAGGACATGCTGCTAGGCCCACAGACAGAAACTCCAGCTGAAGGTCACCCCCAATGGCACCATGAATGTAAGCTCACATTGTACATTTTGTGGACCTACCTAAAAGAGAGGGGAGACAAGGGAAAGTGGATGCAACTTACAGCAGGCTTGATAGGTCTGAAGACTTCCTTTTTCTCTTCAGGCTTTTTAGGTGCACTTTCATGACGCTGTGACGGAGAACCCTCAGATTTGGATGATGCTGCATGTGTCAAGACCCCAAAAGGAACACAGAACAAAACAGATTAAGCAGGGAGCTAAAGTATATTTTCCTACTTCGCTTTGGAGTGGGGAAGAGAAATGAGAAAGTTATCAGGCTGTGCCTGACAGGAAGACCTAAGTTTCACTGGTTCACTACTACATTGTCCCTGAAGGAGTATACAAAAAGCCATCATAAGATGTGATCTGTATAGGTGCAGCCGGCTTATGACTGAAACTAAATTGTCACACAGTTGTAGATCAAAGAGGGTAACCGGAGTGTAGCCAGAAGCTGGACAGCCTTCATCAGCACCCAACATAATCCAGCTGAGATGTATCCATAGCAGTTTGCACCCCATCAGCCACCACCAAGGTGACCAGCAACAAGCATCATGTGCCCCTGCACATGAGGAAGGGAGTTGTGAGAGCATGGAGACTGGTCTGTTTGCATATAGGAAAATACAGTAGTGAGTGGATGCGAATCAAAAAACAATGAAACATTTTCACAATGACTTCTGTGCCTACCATCTTCCCCAAGTAAGGACATACAGTCAAGCGGGGTACTAGAAGCTAACCCACCTTTGGTACTGCATGCTTAAAGGTCTTTCCTACTGAGGGTTATCAACCTTCATTATTGAGTGTTTCACAACTTGACAAATTTAGAAACACAATGCTACAGAGGGTGAGGAACAGACTTACATCTCATCCGGAACCGCTCTCCAGACCCACTCTGAGAGCCAGGGTGAGAGCCAGGCTGTGAGCCAGAGTTGCTTGAACCTGAAGAACTGCCACTGCCTGGCCTTGGTACGAGCTTCTCCACCCTTTCCCACAGCAGACGAGGCTCTATATTGCTGTATCATGAAAGGAAAGACACACATTTCAGTTTCAGATTCCCATTTCCAAACTCAAATATCACTCTTCCTCAGTGTTTTGCTAATAACTTATCGGAAAGAACTCTTAACACAGCTGAGAGCATCAGTGATGCTTCACAACCCAGGCAGTGGATTCCTTTGAAATACCTATCACCTTACTTAGGATGGAAAGAAAAAAGATGTACGTAAGCTATTCTTTTTATTTGGAACTGGCTACCTGCCATTCTTATGTATCTAATCTACAGTGAACCTAAAGTTCTCTCAGCCTGCCTGCAGCAGGTTTAAAATCGGCTCAGATGTGCCCTGGCCAGCCAAACATAAGCCAAAAATGACATAACTGCCCGTCCCTCTCAGAACACTCTCACCCTTGTAAGCCAGTGTCAGTAAGCCAGTTCCAGGGTGGCCTATTTGTGTTGCTCTGCTGAGGTCTGGAGGCAGCCCCTTCCATTCCCTGCCTGACCTCAGATGCTGTGTCACAGCTCATGGACATTTCTCTCCCTCTTAAAGTCTGGTTCTGGCTGAGAGGCCAGAAAGTTTCTGAGAGGCCAGAAAGTTTCTGAAATCATTTCACTTCAGATGTTACAAACACTTTTGCTGCCAGTAATCCCCACAGCGTGCCCAAGATGACCTGTTGCATCAAATGGCAAGATGCTCATGAATGGCCACATTATTTCAGAAATACTAAGGATATTTTGAAATTATTGCTAAAGTTACAGGGCAGGCAACTTGAAGGAGGAGAGGAAAGAAGAAATTCTGCCAGTGTTTGTTGGCACATGTGCTACACCAAGGGAAATTAATATTAATCATTACTGAAAAGGGATCCAAATTCATCTTTCTTTCACATCCAACAAACAATGCCAAAAGCTCTCTGGAAACGCCTGGCTTCCCATAAGTCTTTTCCTTCCAGTTCAGGAAAGGCAATGACATGTTGTCTTACAAACCTCGTGGAGTTTCTTTGACCTGCTTGGTTATTTTGCTGCCCACTGCCCTGCAGCGGAGAATCACGGCGAGACAGGACTGGTGATCGGGACGTTGTTCTCACAGGTACCTTGGAGGAAAAAAGGTTGTGTTAAATCCATGAAGGGGAGAGGAAGAAGAGGAAGATTAAACCTCTCCTGCTACAGAACATATTCTTAAGATCTTAACAACACTTAATTCTAAGTCCAAGCTAACATCAATGACCAAAAGCAATGAACAAACACCCACAAAACCAAGGACCTTAGTTGGGATGCTGTTCAGATTTTGAAGGGAACTCGAAAGTTTAGTCTTAACATTAAGCAGTGTTTAATAGTCACCACACAAACACATACACACCCCGATAACCTCCAACTACTGAGACATTCTAAAAGAATATGGCACTTTGACTGAAGCAGGGGAGGCACAAAGCAATTTGCTGAAACAGCATGAGAATTAGGAGAATAAGCTCAGGGGAACCAAACAAATGCCTGGGAATGGATCAGCAGAAGGCAAAGACTGGTGGGGGGAGCAAGAATATACTCAGAAGAAGCAAATCCCAGTGGATGGGAGGGGGTTGGGAGAAGGAGAGTAGGAAGAAATATATTGAATGTTTCCTTTTTGTTCAGCTCCATCTCAATTTTAAGTATGTGTATGAATCATAGTTTGGGTTGCTGACAGACGAAGAGGAAAATTAACTCTGAGCAACAACTTCAGGGATATTTTAAATTCTTTCCTGAGTATGGTAATGATTTGTTAACTTTGCATAATAAATTGTCTCTGAAATAGCTGCATTCTATAAATAATTGCCAATTTTATATGAAGCTTCAATATTGTACTTAAGGTTGATTATCATTAAGCCATTGACTGAACACCTATATTATGATCTGCCTTCCAAAATACTGTTACCAATGCTTGCACAAGGGCACGGTCTTCCCAGTGCCCAGGGTATCACATCCTTAAGAAAATAATAATTAATAATAAAGAAAAATAGCACACATCTGTCTTTCTACTCCTTACCCTTGGAGGCACCTCGTCACTGTCTGATCTAGCCCAAGCCTTTTGGGTGGGGTCGGGTACCTCCGACTTAGAGTCAGAACTCTGATTTAGCACTTCACTGCGTGAAGGTGGATATGGGTCCTGGGAACGAAGATGGTGATGAGCAAATTTGGGAGAAGGGTCACTGAAGGAATGGGATCGCGAGACAGGGGAAACATTGTTCTTGAGAGATGCCAGATGGGACCACTGTACCTTACAAGAAAACAAAACATAAAACATTCAATGCGCTCAGTATAACTGGCTTTCCAATTAACACAGAATAAAGGCAGGTGGGGCGGGCAGAGACAAATTGGTTATGGCATTAGGAAAGCGTGGGGTGGAATCAACGCATTTAAAAGCAAGGCAAGCGCCCAAAGAACGTAACAGACTGAAAATACAGCACATACGCATTTTTGGTGAGGTACGCTCTCCACATACACATACACTGGTGCCCAGAAGAAAAGGGGACCTAATATCTGTACCCTGAGTCTGACTCCAAAGGCCACTCAAGACAGAAGTTGCCTTCCATTCCTTGGTCTTCAGTGGGCTTTGGTCAGGTCTCATGGCAGCACTGTTGGGCTGGGAAATTTGAAGCTATATCCAATTGAAGAAATGTACAAAATTAAAGAAATTGCTGTAAAATGTGCAAACTGACAGACATTTATGTTACCTAATAAATTTAGGAACTAGATGCAGTTCCAAACTTTTGGACAAAGACCATAACACAAAAGCCTTTATTCCTTTACAGTCATTGAAATATATACAAAAAACCCCATAATATATGTTGTATATAGTATACATATGTACAATGTATATTATACTTACACCATATATGTACCATATACTGTACATATATACATATTTATACGAAAACTAAGAACACATGTACACGAACACGTATTCAGTTACACAGACTAAGAAGGCACAACAGTGACTCCAGAGTTAAAACCCTATTGGGATTTCCACTGAAATCCATATTGACCCTTCAGCCTACTCCGTCCTTGTGCAAAAAACTGTGTTTCAGAGTTAATTTCTGAAACTAAGGAGAAGAAAAGGTCATAACTGAGGAACACACTGTTTTCACACTTCATAATTAAGCAAAACTTTGCTTTCAATCCCAGTTTCAGTAGGCTGGTTGTATTTGTTTTTATGTCATTATTATTTCCTCAATTTTAATACACACAGCTGTTGAAGAGCCTGATTATCCTTAATATAAGTGGAAGACCCAGACTTTAAAAGTAACTGGCACAGAGAGCATGAAGATACAAGTCCAATATTTTGAAATAGTCATAGAGGTTTGAATAAAAGCCAGGAATTAATGAGTAAGAGATGAAGTTCTGTCCTGATTTCTCCCACTCTCCCGTCTGTTCAAATTCTCTTGTTGCCTAAAAGAGTTGCAATACCTAGTCACAACCAGGGACGGGTTTAGCTTGCACCGTCATCAACAGACTTAATTTGGGAGAAGAAAATTCTGCATGGAAACAGAGGAACTGAATACAGAACTACAGAGCTTAATTTAGCATATCTAGATGACTCTGAATTTATGGGCTACACCTAAGTTTTACATAAAAGTTGCTTTTTAAATTCACACTGTAATTCCTACGAAATGCAGATGACAAGATCTGGAGGTTTTTCATTAGAAAATAACAGAATGACAGCAGTCACACAGCTCAGTGGTTTCAACCTCTTTTTGATTTTTCCAGGAGTGGTACAGAGCTCTATTTAGCAACTGTAGGCCTACTGACAATAAACTTGCTTTTCTTAGTCATGTTTTGTAAATCTCTCTGAAGCAGTGCTTATACTATTAAAGCCCACTTGTTTAGTTAGCTTTTTCTGCAAGAACTGAAAAAACAAAGCAAGCTTAGTTCTTTCCCGAGCACCCTTTTTGGTAGTAAATATTTTGCACAGATCAAGTTCTGAATTGTAAAAGTATACTGCAACTTTTGCCAGTGTTTAGCCCACCATTCTGCTGTTGCACAGATAATAATGAAATGCAATGGTTCTAATCTAGCTCTAACATCATATTTTTAAAAAAAAAACCACAAAAAAACCCCTAAACCCAAACTAAAAACCCCACTACCAAACCACAAATCCATCAGTTTATCGATAAGCAAAAATAGACGAAGAGCAAATGTATTGATTAAGCTGTTTTGTGTAACAGTGCTACCCTTTACATAAGATTTTCTAAGTGCCAAGATCTGCAAATTTGAAAGAAACACGTTGGGACTTCTGCATTTCCTCCAAGCTCACCAAGATTTTCTCAGGCACTTACCTGAGGCTCCATTGGCCTCTGCAGGGCAGGCTGAGCAGGTTCTGAGTTTCCATTAGAAAAGGACTCTGATCTTGAAGGCACTGGTGGCTCCAACACTTTGCCCATCTGTTTAGACTGTGCTTCAGGGGAGCCCTGATTAGTTTTTCTAAATCTCTCCTCCACCTAAGCCAAAATAAATGGAGGTTAAGCCTGGATTCAATAAAACCAATTACAGTAGAAATATGAAGATGATTACCACTTTCACTTTACCATAAAGAAACCAAATACATTTGGCAGGATTTTTTCCCTACCACTTTCACCATAACTACAAAAACACCGCGTGAACTACATCAAAGTGGCAAGTATGCCAACAGGGAAAATCCATACCAGGAAGAGTGGATTTAGAACATAGCAAGATGTGAAGTGATACGATTGTAGACCATTACGGAGCTTCTTTCTGCTTAGACTAGTTATTATCCATTAGTATTTTCCTCACAGACAATAAAAAGGATAGATGAAAATAGAAACCACTTTTCAATATAAAAGTGTATTTCCCTTACTGTAGTTACCTGCCACACTCAACCAATGGTAGTTGCTATCTGCTTTCCTATGCTTGTTTCTTTGGCAACGCAAGAAGAGATAGGATATGCTTCTCTACCCGGTAATACTGGAGGCTGTTCAGTTTTAGGTATGAAATGGTCGGGCAGGTCATCCTGTCTTTTATCAGATAGTCCCAACACAACCTCATAGGCTGCAGAGAACAGACCCAGCAGCTTGTTTCTTGTTCTCAAGGAGGTGTAGAATTGATCATACATGGACTTTGAGGGCTTGTCAAGGAGAAGACTAAGTTGGAAAGTGCTCAGTCCTCGGCGGACCATCAAGTGAGGTCCCTGTGCAGAAATGTCGCCCCTTCCAAGACTACAGCATTGTGAACAAAGTGAGAGCTACAAAGAGCAAGAGATGCAGGGAGGCTCCAGGCAGAAAGGAAATACCCTCCTATTTCCTAAGATGGTCTGTTGCTGCAACCAGGGCAGTGTGCACACTTCTGCCAGGGCAGCTGCCTCTGAGGAACATTAAACTCACAGCACTTTATCACATCATCAAAGAAAAATCATATTAGCAGCTTGGGCTGACTTCATTTGATGAAATTCTGCTCACAGTATTTGCTTTAACCCTTGTGCCTAGAGCACAAGTCCAGTACTGGGGTGGTTTCCTAATCAATCCCTAGCAGTGATGATCTGGAGAGACTGGCTGTTCATATAGCCATGTCAGAAGACAAAGGCATGTTTCCAAGACTCCTCAGCTGGGCTGCTCTCTGCTTTACAAAATTTGAGGGCAGTTAACAGTTTGCCTGTGGGAACAAGTAGACAAGTTTCTGACAGGTCTACACAAACTACACCATGTCTTGGGACAATAAGGGAGGCACACATCTTCACCATACAATCATCTTCACTACTGTGTTCAACTTCACAGAGCCATCCTTCAAAAAACAGGCCAGACTCCCTGTTATGAATAGAACAAGGAAAAGCCCCAAGTCCTTCTGTCTGAAGGAACAGGCTTCAGACGTTGATGATAGGAGGTTTCTTCCACAAAGCACAGAAACTGCATGAACCACATGTCCTGAGAACCAGGCAAGAAGTGGGAAGGAGATAGGGAGCATATCCCTGGATAGAAACAGGCCCTGTTCCAGTCATCTGACTGTTCAGACTAGAAAATGGCATTAAGCCTCACTCCTTGCTCTAAGCTCCCTGCTGTTTCCCAGAGCCAATCAATAAGTCCTCTTTCTTATATCATCATTGCTACTGCAATGGGGAAAAAAAATAGATACTATGGCTACACTTTTACCACAGTTTTTAAGGAGAGTATTACACAGCAATCCCTGGGAAGATCTGACTACTGACATAATATTTCTGCACCTTCACTTTACTCCTCCTAGCTAGAGCAATCACAAAAGAAAAAGACTATGACAAAAAACAGCTGAATCAGTAATCCTGCTGATCAGGAGTTTCTCTCCTTTTCCACTCTGAAAGGAAAATGGGAGACAAGGAGTAAATACAGTTCTGCATCCTTCCAAAGCCAGCCATCAGGCTGGACAGGAGCACTGGACTTGCACTGTGCTTTCACTGAGGTGGGCCAGGAATGCACAACAAGGACTGGAAGGCTGGTTCCATGCTGCACCACCACATACCAGACAAGTCTGAACTTCTTCCGAGAGAGACATACCAGATACTTCAACCACCAAGCAGAATGGATGAGATAGCATAAACATGGTTTAAAAAGAACTTGGACAACAGTATCTACAAGAAAGTGAGTTTGTGCTCACCAAGCCCAAACAGAAATACTTCAAAGGCAATGAAGTGCTACTGGACAAAGGTGGACTGAAAGCTATTTTATCATGTTCAACAGCCTCAAGGATTTTTTTTGTTCTTGTTCCAAAATGTATTTACCTAGTTCCTACATGCTAGTGATGAATGCCATTAAGAGCTTTGACCAGTACTGCCCAGTCTGGTGGTTTGTGGGCAGTATGGTGCTCAAGGGAAATGTACGAATAAGACCGCTGAAAGAGAGCCAAGTATGCATCGAGGAGGCAATTACTTGCTTAGCAAAGCTACCCGTGGACCAATGAAGACAGGAGACCACTCATTAAAACAAACAGTACTCTGATGATCTCAGATCGACTTGTTAGTGCCCAAAGTCCAAGAAGGCAACATCACTAAGTTTCATAAAAGCAGGGAGTGATCTCAGAAGAGAATACTTAACATTTCAAAATGAAACTAATGAGATTCAGGTTTATGTTCATGAGAAGGAAATTTCCAAGAGCACGAGCTAAAACACCAAATGTGTAAACAGGCACTGTGTGCAAGCATCCCTCCTAGGTTTGTGCTTTCCAACTGCCTCCCAGTTTCCAATTGCCAGTACTTGCCAGAGACACAGACTGCCAACCGCACCAATGCTTCCTATGAAAACATGTCTGATGAAGTGCACATGAGATTAAACGCCTGAAGTGATGCTTCCAAAACCAGGTCCCCTCAGACTGCAGCCTTCCAGTATTTCTTTCCACCCTCAAAACTCTGCACTCCAATGATTGCAGCAGAAGTACTCAGAAGTAGCCCTCAGGTTTGGAAAACAGTAGGCTACATTTTAAAATACCCTGCCCCTTATGAGTGACACTTTGGCCTCCAACTGTAGTACAGCAGAACTGCAGTCACAATGATGGCAACAGCCAGAGGCAGAGAAGCAGGCAGCAGATTCCTGCCCACAAACAGGACTTACCTCACGTGCTCTTTCAGCAGGCTCATAGTGGGATTTTGGCTCAGGGGTATGATAGCTTTGTTTGTTTCTTTCTTGCTGCTGTTGCTGCTGCTGTTGCTGCTGTTGCTGCTGCTGCTGCTGCTGCCGCCTGTGATCATGCTGCAGTGACAGGAGGTAGGCTTGCTCCTGCTGCAACTGGCGCTGGAGTCGCTCCGCCTGTCGGTGTTCCTCCATCTCTCTCCATCTGTATTCCTTTGAAAGAACACGTAATTCAAGACATGACGTTGATCATATGGTAGATAAGTCCCCACCATCCCATTAAAAATGCACCTTTCTGGTTGTTGTTGCCTTTTTTTTTCTTCTTTTTTTTTGTTTATATCATTGTTAAAGTATGCCCGAGAGCTAAGTTAGACCAATATGGCATGTGTCTCACATTGGGAAAGTTGAGTGTGTACTGCTAAGCTTGACATGATAGGAGAGTTATGCCAAAACTGATACTTATTAAAGGAAAAAACCAAACCAAACAAAAAAAAAAAAAAAAGAAAAAAAAAGAAAAAAGAGTTATTTATACTAAATCCAGTGTAAAGTTCATAAAACAATGACTTAGACCAACACTAGGCCATTGTATCCTGGGGTGGATTTACATATCATGTGTGCTTTTGATCTGCAACATAAGCACTCTAGTTCTTCACTGAATGCCAAGGTCTGTTCAGAAACTCGACCACCACACCAGAACTGTTCCACTTTAACATAAAGCCTCTTCTTACAGCCCGGAAAGCAGTGTGACCATACAGCACTTCTCATATGTGCCTGTCAGCCCACGACACTAGCATAAATGGCCTTTTAATCAAGCTCCTTTGTTGTCATACTGTCAGTGCAGCTGTGCCCGACTGAGGGAAGCCTAGGACTGGCCGGATAAATGGATCCTATAGCTACTGAACAAAACAGATACAGTGCTTTACCAGTAACATGGCCTGCTCCTGGAGCAGCTGCTGCTGTAGAATTTCCAAGTGCCGCTGCTCCTCTTCTAGCTGTCGCCTGATATACTCCTGTCACATAGAAATTACCCAGCAATAAATTTATTCAAAAGGAATGCATCAGAACCCCCTGGGTGGAACACCACACGCTACTTCCCCAGTTCAGCTTTAACGAGAAACGCACTTCAGGATGGATTAGTGCCTGCAGAACAATTTAGGAAGCCCTGCCTCCTGAGCATCGGCTTTCGGCCCCTTCTGTTCTGAAATTTGCACTCCTGCAAATGTTGCCGGTACGGGCAAGAGCTCGTTTCCATATTTTGGAAGTGGTTTCAAGAAGCAGCAAAATGCACTTGAAGGTTTTGGAAAGTTAAAACACAGCGAGTCTTGACTCAACACAGCCAATACAAAGTCACATGCAAGTTGTATTAAACATTAGTTTGTTGCACTGGTGCGATGAACTGTTAGCAACAGCTAGAGCCAGGCATAGTGTAGGCAGACCTGGAGCAAGCTCCCTGAGAGGGGCTCTGCCAAGTGCAGTTGGGACCTGCCCTGCCATCTCCCCTGCTGCCCTCACCAGAAGCTTCTCCTGAGCAGACACTGCCAGCCTTGCTGAATTATGCGATGGTTATGACACAAACAAACATCCACCAGGAAACAGATACTAGACCAAACTTGAGATCTAGCCATCTCTTCACCTGCAGCCTCAACAGGTCGAGAGGTTTAACCACTGCTTTGCCTGACCCCCTGGAAGAACTCAAACTCTGAAGCACCAAACCCAAGCTGGTAACATCCTATCATGCAATTAATGGAAGTATGTAACATGTGCATGCGCACACACACAAGCACACACACGCACACACACATTTACAGTGTATGCATAAAGAAATTAATGGATCAGTGATACAGTGATGGGAGCTATAGAAAGTCTTGTGACAGACTGATGAGATACACTGTACTGTCGTTACGCACATTGGCTGTGCCATAGTTCGGGTTAACAAAAATTCTAAGAGGGGGCATGTCTTTTCTTCTGAAAAATAAACAAATTTGAAAGTCCAGAGCGG